GAGATTCTGAATAGCAGAGCAGAGCTGGGAAGGAAATTAGCTTGCTGATCAAGATGTTCCAAAGTATATCTTCAAGGCAGGTCTGAGTCAACACTTTGAGATAATGCTGTCAGACTAAATGATAACACAAAATATTCTGACAACCTACTTGGTCTGGAAACAAACACTGTCTGTTCCTTGGCAGTAATTTCTGATTAAACGGGGGACTCTAGTTGCCAACAGCCCAATGCTAGCCACTGTGACTCAAGCCGTTGACTCCTCTTTTTTGGCATAAAACATTCAAATATATAAATTAAATGAATTCAAGTGAAAGATAGGAATCATCTTTTTATTTGGATAAATAAACTGCTTTATAGCTTTATTAAGGATCTGAGATCCACCTTAATCACAGACAGCAGTGAGGAAGCTCACATACGCATGCCATAAAATATGTAAGAGAAGATTTTTGGTACAGGTACCCTCCATCTACAGTTTGCAATTATATTTGACCTTTTAAAATAACCCAGGTGCAGAAAAGGTGCTTGAATACATCACACCTAAGATGAGCTTCATAGAAACTTCCTGGTTTCCCGAGAGCTCTGCTCTTTGCAGTAAAGAGCAATCAGGTTAATCAAAATAACGGAGAAAAAGGAAAATATATGCAGGAAATTCTCTCCTGGCTCACCCAAGTATACAGATTGCGTGCACTACTTTCATAGTCAAGTCTTGCAGACTTTAATGGCAGACACCTAAGACACTGAGCAATCTTACTGGTGTCTGTGCAACTGTTCACACACTTGGTGAGAAGCACATGCTAAACATGTTGCTGATCTTTTCCTTTCTGTTTTGTTTCCTCTCCTGTCTGTTTTCTATTCCTTTGTCGGTCTCTTCTTTTTCTTTTGCGACCTATAGCCCTACTTTGAGGCCCAGATTTATGTTCTGTCTTTCTTGCAGGGACAGCAGTCTTTCCAGTGACTGTTGTCATGTACCTTTCTGCCCTTAAATCTTTCCTAGCTAGCGTAGGTTTGTAACCCTTAGTGAAGTTCCCGTCTTCTGTGGGATTTCAGAGGGAGCTCAGTCTCTGGAGTTCAAAAGTGTGAACAGCTTTGTTTATCAAGACCTGAAAAAACACCTCCACCATCTAGACAGCGTCTTTGAATTGGGGCCTTACTGCATGTTGGATAATCTGTGCGTTGGGAACAAATGGACATATGCAATTCCTTCAAGCTGAATTACAGTAGGAGGATTAACAATAAAATAAACAGGTTCCTATTCACTACGTGAAGGTCTGTCAACATATTTTGACAGTTTGTTGCAGTGATGCATTAGTCAGACAAGCATGTTATGTGAAAGTGTCATATCTGTATCTGGCAGGAAACTGGCCAAATTACCTGTAACTCTCATGACTCTTGCTGTCTTTAAATAGCTTTTTCTTATATGCATTTTCCCCCTCCCATCTTTTTCCTAAATCAAAGATGGGGTGTTGTCAGAAGCTGGAACCTGAAACATGGCATCTCATTTTCTCCTGTTATAAAAAGACTGAATGTACATTGCTGAAGTGGACATAAAGTTGCTTTTCCATTTCACTGTCTGGTCTGAGTGTTCCTGAACAGAACTTCACCAATTGCCTGGAAACCAGCCTGTAATGTTAGAAAAAGATGGTGTGGTCATCTGCCACCATCTTCCCTATTGCTCTTTATGAGTATGTTCCTCATGCCAAAGAGAGCAAACTGTCCTGGTTTCCAACCATTGTGTGGAGTCAGACCATATCCTACACTGCAGTTCAGGGTTAAGTTCATGTTTGCTTTCCATGGGAAGATTGAGCATGTATGAATGTGGCTGAGTATGACACAGTCTAGTCCATCAGCACATGTAAGTCAGGTGGTGAAGTTTAGATGTACCTGAGTGTTGGCTTGTTCTGCATGGGCTCCCCTCTGAATGCTTGAAAAGTCTACTAGTCTACTGAGGTGGCCAGTAGGAAATTTCCTCAAACAAATGGAAATAACAATGAAATTGCAAAACCTTGCATCGCTTTGCACCTTTGTGGAGCTCCATTGGCTTCAGGAGGGCTCCCTGTGTCCACAGAGGATGGCCAGATCAGAACCTAACTTATTTGCTACAAGTACCTTGAAGAGGAGAGGAAGAGGATCAGCCATGTATTTAGAAGAGCATCCTTTACGAAGGGCCATGGTGGTTAATACAGAGCTAAAAATAGGTGCAAAGAAAATTAATAAGCCTCAGAATCGTTGGGATAGAGTGGAAGAGAATAAGGTACCTTTCCTGGTGTCTGTTCAGTATGTTTAAAATTGACTTGGATTTTAAAATTATGGGACAGACTGAGCAAACAATCAGTCCTGACACTTTCAAATCAGTTAAAGGGCACTCAGCAGAAATGCTAGTGGGTGAGTTGTAGAGAACGCAGAAGGGAGAAGGATGGAAATACTGTCTCAAAGGGTATCAGCAGATTCCTCTGCAGTATTACATGCAAAAGACTAATGAGCAGTGGCTGAACACACATGCGACCGCTGTATTTATTGTAGATGTCTTTCTGCAGTGTTCACTTTCTCTTACCAATGACAGCTGTGATTTGTAACCTCTACCGACTGCTTAAACCCAGATTTTCTTGTTCCTGCTTTAATTTCTTGCTCAGGAAGAACAAAAACTTACTCCTAGCTCACGTCTACAGAAAGAGTAGACAGATCTTTACAGAAAGAGTAGATGTGTCTATGGCAGCAAGGGAAGATACAATTCTGATTGTATGTAAGAGTCATAATTTTGTCTAAACTGGGATCAGCCAAACCTAGACCAAAATGCCTGTGAGCTCTGAACCAAAACTTTTAAATGCAAACCGAGCACTTGTTTAAATCTTTTCAGTGTCTTTGTCCTTGTGGTAAGATTTCACTAATCATTTCAAACAAAAGCAAAGATGTTTCATCTTAGACTGACTGTCTTTGGTCTTTACTGCTGAAAATCCCAGAAGCTTCATACTCTGTTTTTCACTGGCATAAAAGAGCTAACAGGGAGAACCTGTCTGTCCTCTGACACTCTTGAGAACACTGGGAACACGAATAAAAGAAAAGAGAGGTTTTAGTGACCTCATGGAAAACCACCTGGAAAAATTTATGTTATTAGATGAGCAAATTCTGTTTAGGATTTTTATTCCGTTAGATTGAAGGACACTTCAGGGGTCTAACTCTGTTCTCCATTACTCTAGCATTGGTGTAACTGTCTGAGCTTTAATGAAATTCTGATTGATGCCACTCTGAGATTGGAATATGGTCTGTAATGGTTCTGTTAGAGCAAAAGGGGCTGTACCAGTTTACGTTTAAAACTGAGGAGCCCTATTCCCAAAGCAGTTATGTAACAATTATACAGAAGAAACAAGGTGGTAATTAATAAATGCTGTTTTAAATATTTACAGGTCTCTATCTTGCTTCTTAGAGATGCAGGTATAAACAGTTGTAGTGGAAAAACTGCCCAAGCTCTCTGTCTGATCAGGAATTTCCCCCTTTTTGCGCACAGGAGACAGTCAAAGGGGTGGATGCCAGCCCAGCCAAGAGCTGCTGTGCTGTGCAGAAGTCCTTAAGCAGCTGGCTCCAGCCTCACAGCCCTGTGCAGGAAAAAGCAGTGCGTGTCAGCCATCGTTTGGAAACCTTTAGTAATCAGTATCGTTTTGGTCACATCCTGGTCTACCTCCTCCTTAACTGTGGGTCCAGAGCTTCACTTCATTCATACCCTTGCTTTTCTGGCTATGCTAGCAGAGCCAAAGGAGAGCAGCTCCAGAGAACATCTTCCCAGGTATGCCCAGAGTGCTTTCTCCCATCCTTTGTGAACTCCAGACACACCCTACTAAACATGGAGCTTGGACTCCAGTGCCAGGGGTGGAAGGCTGATGAACTGCCGTACTAACATTACTTCTGGAAGAACTTTTCTGTGCACATGGCAGCTCACTGGCTGTCCACAGACTTCAAGACTTAAAAATCAGAATATGCTTCTCTGGGCTGCAGTGGAGGGTGGGAGCACTGGTGTGATCAGCTCTTCTGATGGATGAGCAAGAGCAGTAACATCTGGTTAAGAAACAGTGACAGACAGGTATGGTCTACCCTTGCTCGACCAGTTTCAGGCTGCATCAGCAGTCCAGTGCTTTAGAAATGTACTGCACTTTTAAAGCTCTGTGTCATTTTTTTCCACTTCTGAGAGTAAATATTTTACATTAGTTCCATGATTTTAGTGTCACTGATCCCTGTTTGTGCTCAACTTCAGTGGCCTATGCTTAAAGTCTCTTCCCTCATTCCAAATCTTTACAGGTGAGTTATTTGCACAGGATTTGCTGCTGCCTTTTTTCTGCTGTCAGAATTTGAACTTGCTGGCTGTATGCTATGTGCTAGGTGGTGATTTCTTTGGCATATTTCCTTTCTTCTTTTGGCAGGTCCTGAGTTTGTTCCATTCTCTTTATGAAGTGAAGTGAAAAATGCTAAGCAGAATTTGCAGTGACTTTCTCTTTTATTTAATGAGTGCTTTATCTTGACATTGTCTAGTGTGTAAATTTTGTCCTTTTGAAGACCAGGAGTAGTTGATGTATGGTAGCTTTGTCACTGGGCTGCACTGGCTGTAGATACCTATCTGCTCAGCAATTGTTACGTAACACAAGTTTATTTCTGGGGTGGGGAAGTGGAACCAGTATTACAATTTACTGAGAGTATCTGATAAATTGTTCTGTTCAATAGTAATGCAAAGTGTGATGTTTTATTGCTGCCACCTGACCCTCTGAATATTCCATTCTCCTCGGGTTCTTACATTGCATTCACCCTTCATTATTTCCTCCGAACAGGCCATGAGTTTGCTATATCCTGTGCCTCTGCTTCCCTGTCTTATTTCCAAAAGCTGAAAAGGGCAAAATCCACATCAGTGCTGAGCCCATAGACAGGGCACATAGCTTGCACTGGACAGTCCAGATGCTGCCTGTGGATGTTGGTCTAATGTTTTGGGTAAGTATGGCGCATTAATCTGCCGTGCAGTGTGATACTCTGGAGAGCCACTGTTAAGCACCCAGTAAGATGAAAGCTCACAGGGAGTTTTCAGGAGCCTGTGAAATGACAGCACATGATGATGTGCATGATCGGATGATAAGCTGCAAGAGCAGAGATAGTGTTTGGTGTATCATATAAGCCAAACTGTGTTTATTGTATGCCATGGTGAGGTGAAATTAAACCAAATTGTGTAATGCCAGCATTTCTGACTGCATGATTTGAAGCTTCTGTGTGTGTTTGAACATATGTTCTTGTGAATGGCGTACTGCAGAGACCTGTGAATCTGAGTGGACCATCCACATACAGTATATCAGGAGAAGCACGGTGCAGTTTACCCTGCACAGTCTACCTGTGTCCTGGGTTGAAGTATGTGTAAATGCCATCCACAGAGCAGGACACCTAGAGCTGCAGCACTAACCATAGTATAAGGCTGTAGGATAACAACTGATTTTCCATACAAATCAATGACAGTAATACTGAAGGACTGAGACTAAGGTAAAAACAGTTACAGCTGTTCCCAGGTTTGAACTGAGAGCACAGCTTTGTCATGTGTGTGTTGGGAGAAAGAAGAGCCTCCAAACCATTTCACTCATGCAGTGCCCTTGCTAGAGAAGACATCTGTTAATTGTACATCTGACACAGCAGGAGCCTTTCTGGGTTGTCTTTCAGATGAGATGACAACTGATAATTACATGAGAGCTACAGGCTGTCTATCCTCTATTACTCCAGCATAGCTCTGAAAGCTTTCACTAGGGGAAAAATAACACAAGGAGTCTGAGAAAACCTTTGATTATAGGGAAGGAAGTAAAATTTGTTGTTGCTTGCTCTTATCTTAACTAGCCAACTGTTAAACCCTGCATCTGATAAAATTTCACACAGTGTTGAGAGTGTTGCTGTTGTGTTTCAGGTCTTACTCCAGTGGGTGGCTGGAGGAGATCTGCACATCTAGCCAGACTTCTCTCTCTGTTCTTTGCTCCATCAGGACACACTCAGTTTGCAAGGGCAGGATTTGGGATGCAGTACATCTGTGCCGGCTTTAGTGGTATCTCGTGCCTAATCTCCGGCTCTTGCCATATCTGCCCATCTCTCAGCAGTAACCTGAAGTCAATGTCAGTGATAAAATACATGGTAGTTTAAAGTGTTAGATGAAATGTGGGTGTTATGTCCACTTGCGAATTGGGCCCAGGTACTGTATAAACAGTTCTGTGACTTAGTATAAAATGTGCTGTATGTGCTGGGACCATTAATCCATTAATAGACCATTAATAGGCCAATTACATTGCTTTCATCACTTTTCCTAGTACTTTACAGGAAGCCTTTTTCACTTATGCAGCACCAATTGTGCAAGAATTAGAATATGCTGTAGTTAACTGAGAATGGGAGTGGGAAGGGGGGGAGAACAATATTCTTCCCAGCATGCCATAAACTTGTGACAGGGACCCTGTGTCTCAAATCTGAGCCCTCGGATAACAGTCTAGCAGAGGAGGAAAGCTTGCACGCAAGAATATGATTTTGCATTGGCTTCCCCAGAGTGGTTTGTTCTGGGGAAGCAGAGGGCAGATGTGAGTGTGTTTTGTTTTGTTTGTTTTTTTAAAATCCAATTTTACAGCTCATATAAAAGACCTCTAGCTAAACAGGCTGGGGACTAGATTCCTGTTAATGAATTAGCAGCTATGTGTATTTGACTTAGCATCAGGGTGGTGTCCCGCATCAGTTCACTGACAGCTAGATTTTGTCTTGTGTCAGAGCTCTCTTTTGGCTGATTCGTAACAATTTCTGGCCTGTCCTCAGACTGAAAAAATCCCTTCTTGCATGTCTTATATATGTATTTAGGCCATGTTAATTTTCCATAAATGGTCTGCCACTGAGACATCAGGGAGTGCAGGGTTGCTAACAGAGCAGGACTGGAACCAAGCGTTCCTTGGGCATCGTGAGCTGCTGCCCAATTTGTCAGCCAGGCCAAAGAAACATTTTCTTCCTCATCCCTTGCTCCCTTTCCCTGCACTGGTTATGTTTAGAATCTCTCCACCTCTGCATGTCGGTTGTGAGAGCTGTGTTGCAGTAGATGAGAGTACAGGCCAAATAGGTTCAAACCAGCTAGGCTCGGTGTTTATAATGGGTTTTCTATAACACTGCATAAGGCATTTGCTTCTTTTCATATGTCCGTGATATATGCCAGCTACCCACTGTAGTATTGTTCTGGTGCCTGAAGTGGAATAACATTGTATTTTTTAATAATGA